GAACGCGTTTTGGACGTTTTCGAAAGTCGAAAATCGAAAACGACAAAGAGAACATGCCTTTAGTTTTTGAAAAATAACACACACTTTATTGTCAAGTGGTACACTTATTTATAACTATCAAAATATACTTAATTTTAAAATTTATTAAACATTTTTTAAGCTTAACCAAATGCTTATTTCAATTAAGAGGGGGCGAATAGTGTCACTAGCTAGCTTTCAGAAGTTGTTGGGAGTATATGACGTAGTGACATTTGTATAGTCAACCCCATACGACAAAAAAGCAACTAATCTATTGTAATTATTGTAAAATATGATTTCACTTTGATGTTTTATCGATCATATTATTGTGGCTAATCTCTAATTTTCGAGAATTTTCGGGACGCGTGGCGGGAATAAAAAATTTCCATTTTTGCCTCCTCATTTTATTTAATTAATTTTCAATAATATATTTAAAATTTGAAATATGATTTAATTGAAAAATAAAATAAAATCGGACGCGAATTTAAGAAATTTGGGGCATGATCATGATCCCCATCCCTACCCCATTTGCTAATCAGGGTGGGGTTGGGCTAGGTTGGGTCGAAAATTTTGTCATCCCTATTTGAAAGTGATTAACTAAATTAATTAGAATTTTTTAAAATAAATAGTGACCCCACAATGATTAATTAATATTCCGTAATTAAATTACATTTTTTGAGAAATTAAGGTCGTTTCTTGATTCACCCAATAATAACTTCTCCAAGGATTAAAATTTTGAAAATAGAATCAAATTGTTCCTAAAATGATTTAATACTTGTTAGGATAACGGTCTAATTTTTTGGGAGTGTGGATTCGCGTATTCAAACGGTAGATGATGCCCTTGTGTGGTCTCCACTATTTTTAAAATATATTTTTTTCTTAGTTTCAGTCACACAGTTTTCAATAAAATAATATTACACGCAAACTCAAAAATTTTCTTCAATTTTTAACCACACAATCTATCAGAATACTATTCCAAAATATATGTTGAACAAAAATGGGGCTCAAAGGTTTTGCAAGCTATTTTCAAATGGTAGGTGATATGTTTAGTGTCAGTTGAACAAAATTTTATGTTTAGATTCTCTAGTTATCATCTAAAACAACATATCAACGTATAAGGGTGTGTTTGATGGATATTAATGGGAAAAGAATGTATTTTAAATAGTGATACGATTTGAAATATGTGGTTAAAAAGTAAGGAAAAGTTAATAATGTGAAGTAAAATATTATTTTATTGAAAATGAGTTTTGAAAAAATGTATTTTGAAAGAATGTGTACCAAACATTTCCCATCATATCACTATTCAAAAATCAATTCTTCCTCCAAAAATCCCTACCAAACACACTCTAAAACTTAACTCTCAATTAGAGCGTGTTTGATCCACATTAAATTGGAAAGAATGCATTTTTTTTTGTGTGTGTGAAGTGATGGTGAATATATGGTTGAAAAAGAAGGAAAAGTTATTGATGTGATGAAAAATATTATTTTATTGAAAAATGTGTGGCTGAAAATGAAAATGAAAATGTGGCTCAAACAGACCTTACAAATAAAACGTCTATTAAAGAATACTTTGCTACAAAATTAAAAAGTCGATCATGAGTTTTGCCGAAAATTTAAATTAAGGCTAACTTATGTCAAGTCAAATAGTTTAAAAACCTTAAAATTCGTGTTTGGAAATTGTGAAGGAACCGAACATATAGCACACAGCTTAAACGGCACGGTGTAGACTAATAGAACACAACTCCCATGACACGATTTAATTAATGAAGAATCATAAATTCAAAGTGAAGCTCAATTAAAGTCACCTACAACACAACACCTCGTACCCTGTGAATTCTGCCATCTTTTGTACTATAATTTGGCTCCTCTCCTTAATTTCTACTACATATAGTTATCGCTGAGACAACAACGGCTACAATGTCAAGAAGAACCAATATGGCGCCACCACTCCGCAGCCGCAGAACCCGCCGGAAACAACCCGACTTCACCTCCTGCCACCACCTCGATAAAGAAGAAGAAGAAGAAAATGGAGAAGGTGGGTTAGAGGAGGGAACGTGGAGATTTCAAGCTGAATTATTGAGGGATGAGTGTAGTTTCTTAAGAACAGAAAGAGAATTTGCTTTGAAGAAATTGGAGAAGAATAGAGTTAAGATGGAGAGGACACTTCAATCAGCTGTTCATACCCTTATTTCTGTGAGTTTAAGTTTTTACCTACGAGATGGTGTTTTCTGGCATTCTATCTTAAAAGGCTCAAACGAGCAGTCGATTCCCAAGTTTATGAGGTTTTGATTTCTTGAAAATAAGTTTTATTTATGGGTTTATATATCATTGATCCACTGAGAGCACTCGTGATTTCAAAGTAACTTTCCAGAGAAGAAACTTTTAAGCACGTGCTCTTACTCTATTATTTTGTTGGTTTACAGGGGAAAAAGAAGATTTCTGAAGGCAAGAATGATAATGCAGTGTTGGAAGAAGAGATTGAAGATTTAGCAGAGAAATTAGACGAGTTGCAGATGAATTTAAGGATTAATACAAGTCGAAATCTTGATAAAGAGAACTCTGTTTCTGATTATAGAAGCAGAAATAAAGCCATCGGTGTAAGAATTATCTCCCTTTCCAATTTTTTTTTATTGGAAATCTTTCATCATATGTTAATTTGCTTTCTCATGGTATTTTGTTCTTTTCATGTTGTTTTCTATCAAGTTTACCTCGGATTTGATTGTAATGTGTACTAAACATGTCCTCGTTTAAATAAGAATATATGAGTGTCTAAGTCTATCGGTGGTATCTATGGTATAAATTTTATTTTTTCTCAAAGAAAATGAGATATTTGAGCTATGAACATGCCTTTGATTTTGAATAGAAAAGGTTCTGCAGGTGGATAAGTTGAGACGAAAAATGGAGGGGTTCTCAAAGGGCATGTTAGATAGAGTCGAGGAAGATTGCGGTTCATTGCTTTCTAGTAGAGCCAATAGTTCAGTTCCCGGTTCTGCTTCTACTTCCAAGCGTGTTGATCGGTTTATTGAACCATCTACCTTTTCCACCCGACAATCGTATCAGGCAAAGTTTCTGAATCTTCTACGTAAAGTTTTATATTGTTATCCGTTGCTGTTTGTTGTCGAACTTGCCAAGAAAAAGCTGCTTTTTTCGTTTACAATTTGGTGAAAAAAATGTTATATCGACAGGAACCAGTGTCACTAGAGGAAAACAAATGCTCAGGACGTTGCAAGACCATTATCAGTAGGATTGTAGAGCAGGTGAGAGTTGAGAATGAGCAGTGGTCTCAAATGCAGCTAATGCTGGGACGGGTAAGGGGTGAAATGGACGAACTGCAGGAATCACGCGATTTCTGGGAAAGTCATGCTCTTGATTTAGATAGTGAAATTCAATCCTTAAGACGTGCGGTAAGAGTTCCTCGATTTTATATTGACTGGTTGAGCATGGTTCGAGCTATAATAGATATCTATTACTGATGCTGTAAAACTCTGTGGTTAGGTTGTTATTTGTGTGCTCTCATTGCAGAGACTTTTGTAGCTTTTAAGCTACTTTTAAACAAAATTTTATCTTCTGAGACTTTCGAATCATCTTCTATTCTTTCTTCTGATAACTTTAGGTGGTAATGAAATAGTCCCTTTTTCATAGGTGAAAGAATGGAGAAAGAAAGCGCTCGGTTTCGAAAAGAAGGCTAATGAACTGCAAGTCAAGTTATCTTCACTTAAAGGGGTGCTTCAAAAGTCAAAAACAGAGCTGAACTCAGATCAAAACAAGAAGGTAGGTTCAGTTCCAGATTTATGTCCAGTTTCCCTACGCAAACAACTTGAAAAGGAAAAACACGAATCGAGTTCTCGTTTGGAGGAAGACAATAATACTGACGATACAGTGCGTAAATGGGAGAAAGCCGACGAAGAGCTGAAGAAAGAAGAAAGCATTGAAATAATGCCGACCAAAAATTTGCCGGCTATTTCTTTGGGAAAACAGCTTGCAAAGGAGAAGCTTCGTCGTGCTATCAAAGGCAGAACAGAGGAACTCTTTGGGAACGGAAGAAGAAAACCACAAGCGTGCAACACTGGACTCGTGGATACAAAACGATCCCCATTAAAAGACATTGAGAATTCGGAGGCATATTCTCGTTTCAATCTTTGATGGCATGTTCGGTGTGTTTGATTAGATCGACTAAGAAACCAAAATAAGTTAATGAAAGTGCCTGAGAACTATTGTTATATCAGTATCAGAAACTGAAGGAGTTGAAGAGAAGCCTGAAAATATTGAAATCTGATCCGAATGATCGACCAAAATATTGAAATTCTATCTTCCATCGACTCAGATAGCAAGAAGTATTTTATAGCATTCGACAATAATCTTGTTTATTACGTTGTCTAGTCATATCTAATGCTAAATATCAATCGCACAATTTGTTCTGAAATGACTCAAGTCTAAGTTCTGAAGTGAACTCTCTGTGGAACGAATTTGTTCCCCATTACGAAACTAGCTGCAAGATCACGTTCAATAGGAATCCATTAAATGAGCTTGATAAGCGAATGTATTCTCGAATGATCGTGTGAGACACCGTACCAATTCATTGATTAGTCTGCGGCTTCGAAGCTGTTACTTCCATAGGCATTTGTTCTGGTTAATTTCTTGAAGATAGCTGAAGGATATACTCGACCTTGTTCGACTTTTGTCGATTTTCCTTCCCTCTTGTAAATCCAACGTAGAACACAATCATTTAACTGCAAAAATGAAAATAAAACATGTTATATTTATGTAGGGAAACAAAAAATGGACATTTCATTTGTATTCTTGGTGTACAGTGTACTAGGAGGTTGTTTAACATTTTATTCATTCATAATCCAAGTGGTATTATTCCCATTTGGAGGTTTACCTTCATAGAAGGCTAATGTCATCCTAGTTCCAACAATTTGATTATCGTAATAAGCCCCTGTTTGATCTACATTATTTTTTTCATTCTCATTCTTCTACTCATTTTCAACCACACATTCTTCAATAAAATAATATTTTACATCTATCAATAATTTTTACTTCTTTTTCAACCACACACTCCATCAATCTACTATTCCA